TAAAGTTAAATGGAAATTTTGGTATTTTAAGGACTGAAATGACAACAATTCATATAAGTAACACAAAATTAAATCAGACTAAATAAAATTTCCAAATCTGTTACCTTTGATTTAAAACGTGTGGAACTTTAACAAAAAGTGCAGGTGTGTCTTTGTCTGGTGAATTTTTGGTTAAAACATGCTTGTTTTTCAGTCAGTGGGTAGAAAATCCAGAGATTTTACTCAAGTAAGAGTAGGTGACGTTTCATAATGAAATTACTCAAGTAAAAAGTACAGTGTAGCAAAAATACTCCTAAAATTATTTATTTTTTTCTGATGTAACTAGTAACTAGTTACTACCTAACTCTGAACGTATCATGTTAGTACAATATATTATCGTGTCTGTATAACTCAAGTGTCACGGGTATACAATAAATATCACATTTGTACAGCAATTATCCCCTTATAATGTGGTTATTATTCGAACATTTTCCTCCGTGATAGCAATACGCTTCCGTAGAAAACGACCGTAAAACTGCCTAGAAGCTAACGGTCGACATCATTTAAACTAACCCTGAACCGCACAGAGTCGCCATTGTCACTGCAATGGCTAATGGGGATACAAATAACGGTAATTGGATTTAGGCTAGCCGCCGTTTATAGTCAACAACATAGAATCGGCGCCAGTAAAATACTGTTATAAATTTACAAACATTTCTAATAATGGTACATATCTATTACTTGTGCACTTATCCTACCTGTTTTACACAAAAATTAGCTTCTTCGGTAACGGCTTTGCTGCGACGCTAGCTTATTCAGCTTAGGCTCCCACTGAGCTTCTCCTGCGTACAGTTTGGAAGTCAGTGTCTCTGTTTTGCGCCACTACTGCCGTCTTGTGGAGTAAATTAGTATTGCACCAGGAATAAACTTACAGGTAAATGTGAGTGCCACACAACATAAAAAACCAAAACAAAATTACTAAAATAAACAAAATGAAAGAAAGGAGCTGGAGGGATGTGTCTTTTAATGGTCAAAGGTACTGCCTCATTCCAAACAAGATCAATACTTCTGTATCCTCCATGTTTATGAAATAAACTAATGGCAAAAGGGGATTGTACAAAGTATGGGCAACGGAGATGTAAATAATTGTGGCAGAGGTGATTTGCTTCATGTGGACACTATATATATATAAAACATTCAAATTAAAAATGTTTATTATGTACTAAAAAAACGTAATATTCCAATCACACAGTAGCTTACTTATGTTTTAAGTTGCTTTATTTGTTATTTCCCTCTAGGTCATGATATATGTGTTGTTTTTGGAGTAACTTTTTGAATTAAATCTACATTTAAGCCTAAAACATCTACATGTAGTTCTAAAGAGTTTGTGAAAATATAATTTTGTTCCAGGCATGGTGTCCACATTGAGGAAAATCCTCAATGGGGACAGAACAATGTCTGTCAATCTGAACATGTTCCATGGAGGATCCAGTTTTGGCTTCATGAACGGAGCAGATTCTGGTCCTTCTTCAGAGCTATTTTGAGTGAGCCCTGACATAAACAAAACAACCGTGGTGTTCATGCAAATATGCACAGATTTCTGTTGCATTAGCCAGCAGATGGCGGTAGAGAACAATTACATGCGTTTCATTTTATGACGCTCCGTTATCTGAAACTGGGGAATATTCTGTAAAGTACCATCAGAACCCCCAGTACGAAGTACAGGTATTGTGGCATGCAAATTTATTCACACCCCCTGAATTTGTTTACATTTAGTCAGAGAATAACCACAACTTCAGTACATTTTATTGTATCCTATGTAATATAACAGCATAAAATGAAGAATAATTGTGAAAAGAAAGGAACATAATAAGCGTGTGAAAATGATAAACAAACCTTGTAGGCTATGTCTCTAACAGATTTGGGCTGAAACAATTAATCAGATTAATTGTGATTAATCAATTGTTTGAAATAATCAACTAATTTAGTCATCAATTAATCATTAACTGGAGTATATAGACTCAACAAAGGTAATTTGTGAAAACAAACATTCTCAGATAAATATACATTTTGCACTTTAAATAGGCTGCACAGTGGTGCAGTTGGTAGAGCTGTTTTCTTGCAGCAAGAAGGTTCTGGGTTCAATTCCCAGCCCTGGTCTTTCTGCATGTTCTCCCTGTGCATGCATGGGTTTTCTCCAGGTACTCCAGTTTCCTCCCACAGTCCAAAAACATGACTGTTAGGTTAATTGGCCTCTCCAAATTGGCCCTAGGTGTGAGTGTGTGTATGCATGGTTGTTTGTCTCTGTGTTGCCCTGTGACAGACTGGCAACCTGTCCAGGGTGACCCCACCTCTCACCTGGAACCTTATCTGGAGAGGCACCAGCAACCCTCCCAACCCCACCAAGGGACAAGGGTGTAAAGAAGACAGATGGATGCATTTTAAATAATAAAATATTTGTTTCTAAATGTTTTAGCCAAAACTCCTCAAGTGGGATACTTTTTTTAAATGAATTGAATTATGTGCTTATTTGTATATTTTTTAAAGAGTATCTAATATTGAATAAAAAGGCATAAATGAAAATTCTGTAGAATGTGCCACTTCTTTTTTTTTATCTGATTAATCAGTAGATTACTAAATGAATCTTTAGTTGCAGCCCTAATCTGGAGACTGACATGATTCTGCATTTTGTTTGCCAAATACCTCAGGTACCATGAAGATGGACTGAAAGCTTCCATGAATATTGATTTTCAAGTTTTGTCTCAGTTGAACTTATAGTTTTGCACTTTTATCAGATCATTGTAACTCACAAAGATGCTTTGATCTGGTAGGATGGTTTTATTTGGGATCCTACCAAGAGCTCAACTCCCTCCATGAACCTCAGAGTTTTGTGTGATGCTTATAGAGTTCAGGAAATAGTTTTAGACCTGCCTCAGCTTCAAACATGTCCACACCTTCCCCCATGACTTCTGTCTTCTTTGGTCTTCATGGTGCTGTTTGTTATTTAACGTTCACTAACAAATGTCAAAGGCCTTCACAAAGCATCTGCATATATAATGAGATTTAATTAGACAGAGATGGACTCTGTTAAGGAATTTGGCAACCTTGAAAGGCAACTGGTTCCAATGGATTTTATTCAAGCTTATCAGAGCAACACATTTTAAAACTTTTTGTATTTGTAAAATATTTTTAAAAGCCTTCATCTTCTTCTTTCCACTTCACTGTTATGTAGAGCTTTGTGTTGGTCTGTCACATAAAATCCCAATGAAATATGTTGGGTTTTGTGTTTCTAATGTGACAAAATGTTCAAGGGCTACAATAACTTTTGGAAAGTGCTGTTACTGAAAGATGTTGTTGCCTGATTAGTTTATTCACGTTTGTGCAGCAAGAGGAGACAGCCTTCCAGACATGCCGACTTTGCATTACAAGGAGCCCTACGAACCTGCCATTATGTTCCAGCACCTGTCATTATGGGATGGCTTCAGAGTTTTATTACAGTGTTAGGTAAATGACTATAACTGGGTAAAAGTTAGCTTCCCAGTCATATTATTGAGTTACTTTTCCTTCGCAGCCTTTAAAATCTTTAAAGCCAATAAACATGGAGAACCTACCTGCAAACAATGCCAAAGGCCAGTCACATGGCTACACTCTGCATGAGACCTCCATCACAGGGTTGCTACAGTAAGGTGACAATGTTTGGGGTTGTGTCCTGGTATGTCTAACCATTACCACTAACCCAGTCCAGGGTCAAATAAGGATCAAATCAGACATGATTTGATTTAAAAAACACAGATCTGACCCAGCATTTCTGCTTATTAGAATCTGTTCATACTGCTTTGTGAAGTATATTGATTTGAATAAGCAAAAACTGAATCCAAATGATGGTGGCTTATTTTCCATTAGTTAGGAGCAATATAATGTGTTTGCAGCCACATGGAATCATATTATAGCACAATAAAGTTACTAAAGTCACATTTCTTTTACATCATATTTGATACATATCTATATACTGTATATATATATAGCATTTTTATAAGAACTCAACAGTTGTCTCATTGTGCTGTAAAATGACACTCTGTGCCTAGAAAATTTGTAATATTTCCCCTTTAATAAAATGACAGGTAATGATGTTTGAAATTTCGCTTTACAAAATCAGTGTTGAAATATTGAAATGTTGTGCTTTTCAAGCAACAAAACCCCCAAGCTGGCTGTTCCTGATGGTAAGGTATGAACAATAAAGGTCCCTTTTTTATTGGCTGCGATGGAACCCAAAGTTGTGTCTGATTGGGTGTAAACATTGAAGCGTTTCCTCCCCACAGGAAGAGCGGACCTTTGAGCTTCCTGGTTGAAAACTGTGGACGAGCTCACCAAGGAAAAGACCTTGACAAAAAACATAAAGGTGACCAGCAGCAATGCCTGCAGATTCTTTGCTTTACCTGCAATGAAATTACTCCCATTGTCAGAGGCTACTTGATGAGTCACTTTTCATTTTTGCTCTCTCAGGTCTGGTGGGGGGACATTTTATTCAACGGCATCCCATTGCAGGGTTTTACAATATCCAAATCTAGATATGGAACCTAGTTTTATTGTCAGATTTGTGTGCTTTATTGAACCCAACAACCTGCATTTAACTTACAGCTGTGCTTAAAATTTGTTTAAAGAAAGCCTTTTCTTTATCAGGCACCTTGGAAAAGTCCCCAAGAAAAACCCAGGTTTAGGTTGACAGATTGGCTTTTTGCTGCATGAGTGAAACGACAAGAGAATTAAATAAATACAAACACGTCTGTAAACCAAAAAACTAGCTTTATGGGACAGAAGTAAATGGCTTTCTCACGTTACCCAGACATCACTAAAACGTCATACAGTTATGTCCATGTGAACTGCAATGGTGCCACCTACAGGGCACGCTGAGAACTGCGCAAACTCTTCAAAGCCAGAACCAGACAGTGTTGACATGCGAAAGGGGTTGTGCCGCAGGTTGGTGGTGTATGAAATCACAACTTGCAAGCCATGCTGGGAAGAATCAAAACATTTAATAAGAGTTTTCACTTCTGCTACTTGGAGTCATGGCTCTATATTCCACAGTTTTCCCACATGTTCATAATAAATAATCAGCAAACAGAATTTACAAAGAAATTGTCGTTTAAATTAGCAAATAGCGAACCTGCAAAGTGCAGAGATTGTTAACGAAACAGAATCATCTCTTTAATAGGAGAACAGCTCAGCAGTCCTTGCAGCACATCAGGAAGTGCTGATAATACACGAATGTGAAAGGTTGTTTGTGTTTGGCGATAATAAATCGGTGCACGTGCGTGTGGATGTGTGTGTGTGTCAGCTGGTTAAGTGAATGTGTGCTGAGCAGAAATACAACTCCCAATTAGTGAGGGGTTTAGGGTGCTATCTAAATAGGCTAGTGTTGTACAGTAGTACTACAGGGTGGGAGCTGGGGGGAGCTCAGCGCTATCTGCCAGTCAATGCTGTGTTACTTCAAACAAGGACTTTTTTCATGTGCAGCCCTGTGCCCGACAGCCCACTGACCTCAGAACAAAAGAGCCCTATTAAGTGCTGATTGGATGCTTGGCTGGTGGCGTCTGTGCTGAGAGGCTTCTTTATTGCACGCTGGTTCATCTCTTTCTGGAGTTTAAGTCCGGTAACCTCCTTTGTTTCAGCTCCTACTGTGCCGGTTCCATTTGGCAACTCCTTCCTCTGTCGACTCAGTTCCGCCCAGCAGAACAGGCCACAAAGTTCCTGTGCAGTTGTGCTTTGATATGTTGAGTTCAGTACATGCACATGGCTCGGTGCCTCCATTTATGCAGCAGAGCTTAAATGCAGCTATTGTTATGTTTTTGGCCACCGGAGCTCTGAGGGTGGTTTGAGCCCAGACAGATCCCAGCGAAGCTTCCTTTCCTGAAACAACAGGTATACACCTAATTAAGACCGAGGAAAAGAAACAAGGACAGGAGGTAAAGATACAGTGGGAGAGCATTGGGGGTCTACCTATGTCATCTACGCAAATGTTCTGTCTCTGTATCAGTAAACGTTATTTACGATTTCATTATTATCTTGATTTTTCTGTTAACGGTTGATTTAATTAATCCAACATTATGATGTCAGTCTTCAAATGACATCTTGAGGTCTATTTGCTTCTTTGCCAATTGTTACCCTTCCTCTTTACTCACATTACATTTTGCCCTCCTCCGTCTTCAGTTTTATACCTGTAAACAACCATACTGCAACCTTTTACTCAACCACTGCTGGTCAGTGTATGTCTCTTGTTAAGCATGCAGATAAGTAATCAAAATGTTTACATTTAACCTATTTTTATTTAACTGTATTTTATTTTAAAAATATATCTCATGGTACACTTTCCATTGTTTCTGGTTCATTTCCTTATTTGGACCAGTTCATCATAATGAAATATAACAGATTAATACTTCTGATCAAACTAAGCAGATCTGGGAAGCCCCTTCCAGATGTCATTTAGTGAAATTATACATAAGATTACAGAAACTTTAAGTCACTGGTTATCATTGGTTTTGGTGCCCTAAAGCAGGGGGTATGAAATTGTCTGCAAAGTAAGAACAAAAAGTCCCAAAGCAGATAAATATTGTCCCCACAGTTTGCTCAAAATGTCACATAGTTGGTAGAAAACATCCTTGGTGATTGCACAAAATAAGAAGAAGATGAAGTGATCAGTACCCCTTACAAAAACCAACATCTGCTGTCATTATCCAATAGTTATTGTTTGAATAAAACACATTTTTGGATATTTGTTTCTTTAAAGAGAGATGGTGACACTGTGGGCTGCTGACCTGAGACCAGATCTATGATAAGCCATTTCAGAAGAAATGGCTTATCATGCTATTCAAAAAGCCTGATAAAAAAACGTCTGTAATATATCCTCAACAAACATGCTACAGTCAACACTGACAGACTCATACTCAGCTGCCATGGGACTAAATTTGAACCACCCATGGAAATATTTAGCATCCCCTTGGGTGAAAATAGATACGTATTTTATATTCTAGCCTCTTGCGTATGTGATTCCAGTAAATATCTGACAGCAGGAGGTCGCTGGGAGGTACTTTGTTTGCTCAAGCGTGATAATCTGTCTGTTTCATTGGATTAAACTGGGATCAAAGCCCCAGTAAATAGAAATAAAATCAAATACAAATTTTAATGCAAACAAAATCTAATTAAATATGCAAAGATGGAGCATTTTTTTTCAACTACTTTTCTCCATAATTCATAAATATACTTGATATGGAAAAGTTTAAGGGATAAAATAACAACGTGTGAATCCCAAATGAGAGCAAACAGCATGCCATCCAAATCCAGGTCTTCTGGATTAAAAAAAAAAAAAAACAGAAACCAACATTTTTTTAAAAAATGTGGCCATCCAAATTTTTACATCAAAGTGTAAAAATAATTTTACCATGAAGGAATACAAGTTAAAGCGCTTGTTATTGATGAATCATCTCTATGTTCTCAGAAATGAGGTCATTAATAGTATTTTCTTCTCTCAAGTCTTTATAGAACAGAGATGTTGATGATTACATCCATGTCCTGTAAGAACTACTCTCTTCCCCCTCAGGCCGTTTCGCAAAACTAATCACAGTGCAAATTTGCATTAATTTATCTTTCTAAAGCTCAGCTATTACCTGTGTCGGATGAAGAATGTCATATCTCTACTTTAGAGTCAGTAAATCCTTTCTTGCCCTCATTTACTAGTACAGGCTTCTCCGTCCGTGTGTGCCACACTAATACCTGTGGGTAAGAAGACAGGCATGGATGAGCAGAAAGCCAGTCGAAATGATGAAATACTAAGAACACAGGCCCTTGAGGACTGCAGTTTGAGACCACTGGTTTAGAGGAAGTGCATTAAATATCCAGAAGTAGCATCGGTTTAATGATTCAGTCAAATCTGACTTCTGAATCACCCAGTTTCACATTTTGAAACTTTACCATATTTTATTGATATTTTGTGATGGACAATCACAAAGTAATACTTTACACTGATGTAGAACTACATTACGGAGGATTCTCAATCTTTGTCTTGTATGCAAATAAAAATCTGAAGAGTAGGGTACATTTGTATTCCTGCTCTCCCCCATCCTGTCCTTTCCTTCTTCTCACTGTTGTCATCACTTTGAAGAACCTGCAGTTTCTTGGGGAGTATCCACCTTTGCACATCTCGACACTGAAAATGTTCTTTGAAAAACAGCTCATATTCAGTGAGGTAAGATAATGAATATGTGTGAAGAGTAGCTTTGTCAGTCAAAAGAAGTCCCAGTAAACTACACTGTAGTTTGTAGTTGCAATGTTGCCAAATTTGTAAAAGTTCAAGTTGTAGAAATATATTAAGGTTATTGAGAGAACTTCTCTTACCTCAGTGCAGTTTGAGGCTTTAGGCTCTAACTCACTCAGAGTGACCAGTTCCTTCAGTAAGCTGCTCTCCTGATATCCTCCCTTCACTCCTCGAAGCTTGAAATAAGCCTGAGGTTTGGACAGAATGAGGCCCAAGTTTACTGCAAACCCAGCCATGTCTATAGCGAAAGGCCGGTGTGGGTCAAATACTGTTTTCCAGCCATACACCTTGCCTAGGGCATTTATTTTGGGTGACTCGTATCGTAGGCCACCCACAAATGCCACAGGCCACACAGATACCTTTTTAGTCGACCTCATCTGTTAGATAAAAACACAGACATACAAATTACTCATTGGAGTTGACAAAAATGCTCCTGTTTCGCTTTAAGGACTAAGATGTTAATGGATGACAAGGGAGCAAAAAGAGAAGACTTTTACTTTTAAAACATATCCCCTCACCTCTTCAAACAGCTGTAGACTGTATGTGTTGTCATCGTCTGCAAAGTAAACAACTCCAGGCTGGGTGTAGTTTAAGGGGAAGGTCTCTCGTAGCCACCGCAGGGCCAGGTTCCTCTGCAAGGTGCCCCGCGGTACTCTGGGGTTCCTCCCGTCTCCTCTAGATTTATAAGTCAATGGTGTCAAAATGTTGAGGTGGGTGTAGTTAAGACCCTTTTCCTGAAGGAAATGGCTAACCAGAGTGGTCCTCCTCTGGGAGTCTTCCACGACAATCCAGTGCAAATTAGACACATGGAGAAGAGTGTTGGCCAGGCGGGTCAGTTCAGCTTTCTGCACCGGGCGGCTGTAAGTGGGAGTGATGATGTGGAGAGTAGGAAGACTTTGGGACCAAGGCGGAGGCCGGCTGTAAATGTACTCAGTGCGCACCACATGCACAATGTCACGGCTCTGCAGTGAGGAGGATTCCTTTAAGGCCCGAGAGTCTGAGCGGCCACCAATTGTGTCAGCTACAGAGGAAAAAAAGAAAATAAACTGTAATTTCTGACACCAGAGTTTATTTACTCAACAATGAGAATACTTACAGTAAACATGAGTAAGATTTACATGTAATTTATTTAGTGTTCATTACTTGGTTAATGCAACAGAAAGTCCTACTTGCTGAACAGCACTGAAATATGGACAGAATTACATATAGATACCCCATCTATTACTGGGGTTAGTATTTTAAAAGCAACCATGAAGTGAGTCTAACCCTCAATCTTCTGATCCAAACTCAGACACCTTGTCCATTAGGCCACATGGTTGTGGTGATTGGAATGGCCAAGTCCTGAGCAGTTTTATAAACATTTAAGCCATACGGTGACCAACTCAAGAATCCTTTGAGGTACTGCCAGTAGCTTAAACATGGAGGTGTGGATATTTTTAAGATTCCTTACATTTTAAATTCCTTGTATTCCAAACATTTAAGAGACTGCGGCAAAGTCAGGGATACATGGAGAGGTACTGGCACCAACTTAAGCATGGAGGTGTGGATATTTATTTGATACAAGTCAGAAAAGAGATTTGCGAGTTGGCTAGTCTTTCATGAACACTGGAAGAGACAGGGAATTGATGAAACCTCACATGAATTTGTTGAGTTTCTTTTTCTTGGTTATTGCAATGGCAACTGTTATTGCCATTGCAATACAGTTGCACCAGAATTATTTACTCAACAATGAGAATATTTATCGTAAACATGAGTAAGATTTACATGTAATTTATTTAGTGTTTATAACTTGGTTAATGCAACAGAAACTCCTACTTGCCAAACAGCACTGAAATATGAACAGGATTACA